AATAGAATGGGGGGGGGGGGATTAAGTAACAACCATGTTTTGATTAAATATTACAATACTTTTGAACTACAAAATATTAATTGAATCAAAATCAAGACACTAAAATTTTATAATAGCCTACTTCTGTTAAAGTTTCCTGAACTGGGGCCAGCTGCATAAACATAGCACTATATTAAGACCGTGTCTTAACTAGTTTGACTAACTAGCAGTAAACCATGTGGTAATGAGTCTTACTTTTTAGGTTCAAATTAGACAAATCTACCATTTTATGTAACCGTGTGTAACTTATGTAGTTTATGTACATATGCATGTGTGTGTGTGTGTGTGTGACAGAGAGGGTGGAAGTCCAGGAAATTAGTCCACATTAGACTCTTGAGTTTTTAAAAATCTACTGTATACTTAAAAAAGGAGAGATGCTTGACTATTGATAGGGATTCTTTATTAATCCACAAAAATACAAATACAATTTTGTAATGTTATGGCAAGCTTTTACATCAATGTTGTGGTAATGGACAGTATGTTGGGACCCTACACTGACAGCCGTGATAAAACTTGCTATATTAGCTTGACACAGTATCTTTGACACATGCTCTATGCCTATTTGAAGCTAAGAAAACAATGATTTGACTTTACAATGCTTCAAGCAAAAAGTATGACAAAAAATCTGATCATAAAAAAAAAAAAAAACTTTTTTTTTTACCATGATTTTTTTTTTTGTAGAGGGAATGGTCACATGTGGCTGATTTCTTCTAGGAAGGATGAGGGGCTAATTGAGCATGTGCAGTATGAATATCAACACTGTAGCTCATTCCTGATTAAAGAAATAAGCCATGTTGTGTCTGCCCCTCGTTGCAACCGTCCCCACTCTCCCGTTTGCTCTGTGACAAGTATTTTGCATTGACTCACTTCTGATTCTTAAGTAAAAAAAAAATTAAAATCCTTGTGTGACCAATTAGTTTTGTGTTTTGGTTCAATGAGGCAAACTATAAAACTGAAATAAAAATTTGCAGGACTTTTTCTTAAATGGAGTATCTGGAGACCCCAGCAGGACAGGAAGTGCTTTGATGACCAGGCATTCTGGGAGGTGAACGGATTTGTTCATTTGCATCAGTTTAAATAGATCATTCCTTAATCTCAATGTTTGTATTTCTCTTTTATCATTTAAAAGTAGAATTAATTGCATTAAACCTAATTAAAAATTAAACTTGAAGATATGTTTTCAAACATGTTTACGATTGCTAATTATGTATTCGTTTGTCTTGTAGTTTCCAAATTTGGTGGTACAGAAATGAAGAACTTGTGGACACATTAATAAGAGGACTCGTTATGCATGAATGTGTTTGTGTGTGTGCTTGAGAGGTTAGACATTGCTTAAGTAAACAATTTACAAGATAAAATGTCCTTGAATGGAAAGCATTGTGCTTTCTAAGAGACAAATCATACAAAACATCACCACCAAAGAAATTTCCAAGCCCCTGGAAATTAAGGCTGGATTAAATTACTTTAGTGGAAGCAAGAAAAACAGAGAAGAGTTTGTTCAGCCTGACAATGACAAACTGATACACCACACCACCACCTAATGCAATATATAAAAATAACCTTATGGTGACTTAAATCTACAATCCCATGTTATTCATCTGCTTTTGAATGTAATAAAAAATTGCGCTTTCTAAAAGAAAAAACACTGGTTCTGTACATATTTACAATAATTTTATTCATTTAAACCCACAGTTGGATGAAGTTCAGCTACTTTTTGTCAGAAAGAGAGACGTGGATTACATTAAAATGTTACATTCTTTTAGCATGTAGAAATCACAGAATCTCTAATTTGTTAGTTGACAGATGAGTTGAATTCATCTTATTCTCCCATAACCACTGAAATAATAAGAAATTGTGCTTTTTAAAAACATTAACATTTTTATACAACTCCCACATGCCCAAACATACACAGAGAGTGAACTTAAAGCTCCAAAAGCTACAAAATATATAGTTGTGCTCAAAATTATTAATACCCTTGGTAAATATCAAAGGCGGCTGTGAAAATAAATCCGCATTGTTTATCCACTTGATCTTTCATTCAAAAAAAACAAACAAAAACAATCTTACCTTTAATTAAAGTAAAAAAAAAAATGGGGGAAAATCACATTATGAAATAAATATTTTGCTCTAATACAGTAACAGGATGTGTCTATATGGTCCTAATGCACGGTGAGGAGGAGAGTTTGAGTGGCTAAAGACTCCAAGGATCACAATTGGAGAACTGCAGAAAATAGTTGAGTCTTGGTGTCAGAAAGCCTAAAAAAAACAATGTTGTTTGGGAGGGTTTCAAGAAAAAACTAGAAAAGAACACAAACAAACATCAAAATCAAAACAAAAATGGGTCAACAAAACCAAGCTTCTGCCCTGGCCAACCCAGTCCCCTGAGCTGAACCCTATAGAATATGAGTGTGGTGAACTGAAGAAGAGAAGCATCAACATGCTGCTGGGAAACTGAAGGGTCTGGAGAGATTCTGGATGAAGGAATGGTCTCTGATCTCCTCTCTCTAAACTCTTCAGGCATTATAGGTGAAGACTCAGAGCTGTTCTCTTGGCAAAAGGAGGTTGCAAAAAGTATTGGATAAAAGGGTGTGATTAATTGTGACCAATGGGTATTAGAGAAAAACATTTATTTCCTAATGAGATTTCTCTCCCATTTTAAATTCTTATTCTCCAATGAAAGGTTAGATTTTAGTCAATTTTTAAAATAAAATATCCAAAGGACTGATGATACAGATTAATTTTCACAGCCTTCTTTGATCATATTTACCAAGGCCAAGGGTATGAATAATTTTGAGCACAACTGTATCCAGGCTTCCCACAGTCAAGAAAAACTCAGAGAAATAGGCTGTTTGGTTTTACTAGATGCACAGAAATTAAAAATATTGACAGTGAATATACATGTTTCTAGTTATGCTCAGCTATAAGAAACTGCTTGTGCTCAGTGCAGTCTGTTTAATATTTTCAAATTAAACAACTGAATGACTGGAAAAAAGCGTGGGAACCCATATAACGCAATATAAAAAAAAAAATTCCAAAAGAAAGACGTAAAATAAAGCGCTTGTAGTGATATCAGCTGACTGAAGGTTGAGCCGCAAATATGAAAGGAGTATGTTCTCAAATCTGCACATTGCACAAAATTTCTAAAGATTTTCCCCCTGTGTGGCCACACAGGAAACGAGACAAAGGAAGGAGGAACATATTTAAGAACGGGAGTCAGCTGAGGAGTTGAAAAGGGGAGAGAAAGAAAGAGAGAGTGCAAATAAGCAGCAATAAGTACAGAGGAATTGTGTGTTGATGGACTGTGGGATTTGACTGAAGGAAAGGGATCTTTACTGCCAGAGGTCCTCAGTTCGGCCAAACTTGAACACCAGACCACTGCAAGAGAGAAGGAGAATCAAAATTAGAACTTAATCAAATTATCATAGTTTCACTTGAAAAAAAAAGAAAAGAAAATCTGAATTTGCCAAGTTATTTATTATAAATTACATGAATACTCAAAATCTCAGACCACTAATGCAGTTAATTAGAGACTGGGCAATAGTGGTATATCCATGACTCATTTAAAATTAATTTTATTAAGCTTTCTGAAAAGTATTTTGATGATTATTCAATGTCTCGTCAGTGGAAGTGGTTTGATAGCATCAGTAGCAAAAATAAAGCAAACAATGTAAGCAAAACGTCAGCAAACATACACAGAGAATGAACTTAAAGCTCCAAAAGCTACAAAATATACAACCAGGCTTCCTACAGTCAAGAAAAACTCCCTGTTTGGTTTTAATAGTTGCACAGAAATGAAAAATATTGACAGTGAATATACATGTTTCTAGTTATGCTCAGCTAAGAAACTGCTTGTGCTCGGTGCAATCTGTGTAAAATAATTTTACACGGACAAAAATAGTCTCTTTTTCATTTGTCCATTCATTTCCATTTGAATTACTTCTTTTTGAACAAATTGTTCATTTCGGATTTTTAAAGAAACAAGAATTTTGTCTAGCAAGGGCACATTAAATTGATTAAAGGTGACAACAAAGACATTTATAATGTTACAAATAAATATGTCAAATAAAGTCTGTTCTTCTGAACTTTAGGCAAAGAAAAAGAAAGTATTACAGTTTAACAAAACTATGAAGCAGCTCAACTGTTTTCAACATTGATAATAATCAGAAATGTTTCTTGAGCAGCATATTAGAATGATTTCTGAAGGATCATGTGACACTGAAGACAGGAGTAATGATGCTGAAAATTCAGCTTTGCATCACAGGAATAAATTACATTTTAGGATAAGTAGAAAACACTTCTTTTTATTTGTAATAATAATTCACAATATTACTGTATTTTCAAACTTACCCAAAGAAGATGAAAGCATTTTGGAAGAAAACCGCAATACCAGGATACACCGACAACTCCTTATGATCTGTTCAATCATAAAGAAAAAAAAATGGAAAAACATAATCAGCAACTGTAAACAAACAGAAACCGGAATCATCTTATTCTATAAGGGTAAAATCAGTCTTATTCTCTCACCAGTCACAACAAAACCACCAAACAGAATCCACATAGAGGCGATGAGAGACCCGAACGCCAACATGAACCCGATGAAGAGCCAAATTCTGGCACCTACACACATTCAAAGCACATTTCGGTCATGTAGTATTTCAATATCTACAAGAAATGCATAAAGTTAATGCTGTCTCGTTGCGTATGCAGGACGTACCTGTCTGTCCCAAGCAGCCCTCGCTGTAGCTGTCGCCCCTCACCTGGCCATTTGACACCGCATTGATCCTGCATTCAAATCAGTCTTATTTTAGTCATTACCTTAAGCAAAAACAAACTATTTCAATCCAAGTAACTTTTATGAGTATTCTTTTTCTTTTGAGTTCATGAAACGGACTCATTCTACGTCATCTGAATAGTTTCATTGTTTTGAGCTTAATGAACTTGTTTCTTTTAAATCAGATGTACTTCGATTTAACTGAACCTGGCTGCAATTTCTATTTCCCAGCATGCTTTGCCATAGCACTCGAAAGGTAGAGTAAATACTAAAGTGTTACATACTGTTTTTTGCTAGATTCATGTAAAATAATTGGGAGGATTAGTGTTGTTTTGCTATGCTAATTTAGAAGAGTTTCTGTTATGTTGGGTTTCTCATTGTGACGAGTGGAGCATGGTTTCAGAACAGAAATATGTGAAATGTTTCATACCGCCTTACTCATTCAGCAATTACTATGCTTATCAAAGCATTGTGTTGTCAATTAGCAAGTTAGCATTTACTGAATTAGCTAGTTCCAGCTAGTTATGTTTCCAATAATGAAAAATTTTTTAATTGAGATTACATGATAATTTTAAGTTAGCTTACTCAAATATTTCAAATTAGGAGCAATTCATAAAATAAAATTGGCCTGTTCTGCTTGCTTAAACTTTGAATTTCCTAACTTAAACATTTTGATGTAAATTAAGTAAAGAAATTCGAAACTTAGTTAATAAATTAAGACATTTTTAAACTTAGTTTTTTTTTTAGTTTTGCAAACTTATTCAGTTCTACAGTGTAGTTTTTATTGATAGTTTGAAGTTGTTTTAGATTCTTTTTTTCATTTTTGAGTTAAAACTTTTGCAATTTTTTGTTGTGTTTTTGTAACTTTTATTATTTCTTTTAAAGGGGTCATATGATGTTGCTAAAAAGAACATTATTTGGTGTAATGAAATGTGTTTATGCGGTTTAAAAAACACATTATTTTCCACATACTGTACATTATTGTTTCTCCTCTATGCCCCGCCTTTCTGAAACGCGTCGATTTTTACAAAGCTCATCGGTCTGAAAAGCGAGGTGTGCTCTGATTGGCCAGCTATCCAGTGTGTTGTGATTGGCCGAATACCTCAAGAGTGTGACGGAAATATTACGCCCCTCACATACTGTTGATGCTGTGTCCCAGAGCGATGAGACAAAAACATTAAAACCCATTATAAACGAGGCATTTGTTGCATCCAGTGGGGACATAATTACGGATTATAATGACTTATACTGTCTTTTTCATTTTTATTTCAGTTTTAGTTATTTTAGTACATCAAATTAAACTAAATAATAAATGTAGCTGAAATAATAAAAAAATATATTTTGCAATAAGTTTTAAGTTACAGTTAAATATAAGTTATGGTTTAGTTTTACTTAACTATAATAACCCTGATTCAAATCCATACATAGTGAAACTCCACTGGCGGTTTATCAATGCAGTCATTGTACAGTAGTCACGGCGCAACCCTGTAGTTAAATCAGTGCTTAACAACAGGAAGTAAGATCTGGGACAGATCAAATGATGTCACAGCGTTGGTCTGGCCGGACACAATGAGAACAAAGACTTAGTTCTCTTCATTAGAGGGAGTGCCAGCGAGAATCTGTACAGGTGTAACTCACATGAGGAAGGCTATAGTCGCTATAACCCCACAGGTATGATATGCATGGTGGAACTGTTCCTCTTTAGGGTACATTATCGCAGCATCGATGATGATCCACCAGCCTGTGAAAAACTGCACGTGTGTACAGTGCGAGAAGAAAGACTGTTAGTTTGGGAATCACTGGATATTTTAGAGAACACAAGATTTATTGACATACCAGAACTCCGGCTGCGATGGAGGCGATGGCGTTTCTCTTCTCACCCCAGTCCACATTACACTCGCAATCGCCACATCTGATCCCGTCCAGAAACCCTGACATGCTTCTGATCTGACCTGACCCTTCAGAGAAATATATGTTACTTTTGAGATGTTCTGCTGGTTTTCATAATAAAAAGACTTATTCACATTGCGTGAAGAAGTGAATTATCATACGGTGAATCATACAATGACAAATTTGGGCAGAGAAATGGATATTTAATTTCAAATATTTAAATTTAAAAACACCTTCCCCATCTATCTATCTATCTATCTCTGTCTATCTATCTGTCTATCTATCTATCTATATCTGTCTATCTATCTATCTCTGTCTATCTATCTATCTATCTATATTTGTCTATCTATCTATCTATCTATATCTGTCTATCTATCTATCTATATCTGTCTATCTATCTATCTATCTATATCTGTCTATCTATATCTATCTATCTATATCTGTCTATCTATATCTGTCTATCTGTCTATCTATCTATATCTGTCTATCTATCTATATCTGTCTATCTATCTATCTATATCTGTCTATCTATCTATATATCTGTCTGTGCTGTCAAACGATTAATTCGAATCCAAAATAAAAGTTTTTGTTTACATAATATAGGCTGTGTGTGTGTACTGTGTATATTTATTATGTATACACTACATACAAATACACACACAATATATATATTTTGAAAATATTTACATATATTTACATTCATATAATTTATATTATATATAAATATATTTAATATATAAACATAACATATTTTTCTTAAATATATACATGCATGTATGTGTATTTAAATATGCATAATAAATATACACAACACGTATATATTATGTAAGCAAAAACTTATTTTGGATGTGATTAATCGTTTGACAGCACTATCTATCTATCTATCTATCTATCTATCAACGCATTAAATTGATCAAAAGTGTCAGTAAAGTCACTTATAATGTTACAGAATATTTCTATTTCGAATAAATGCTGTTCTTTTTAATTTTTGTCATTAAAGAATCTTGAAAAAGTGACGGGGGAAAATGAGTGTTCGTCAACTCGTGTTAGTTTTTATTTCGAGGCTAATAAATTCAACAGTTCCTGCGCAGGAGCGGCGCATCGTCACTGACTGCGCACATGCAGAGCACACATGATCATCCTGAACCAAACACAAATAACACACAAAGGATTTCCTTCTGTCATGTTTGCGACCAATATCTGAATATTAACATAAGCGATCTTTAACATAATAGTTAAAAACTACGTTTCCGCGCAATATCGGGCGAAAACGTCGAGTGTTAATGCTGTAAACATGTTTGATCTCTCATATCCGGCTGATTTCTAACCCAATTTTGCTACATCACTGTTTCTATAAAGCATGACGGATAAATAAAAGCACACGTAACGGTGAATATCTAATGAATGATTGCTAGGACTCGATCTTTACAGCACAGTGAATTCTTACCAGCACTTTTCTTGAGTTTTTCCTGTGGTTCGCAGTATGTGGAGATACACTCCGCAGTCTTCCGTCTCAAACAGTGCACTGAGTCGCACATGCGCAGTGCGCTCTGCATCAGTCTCCATTGGCTGAGCACATCCTATCAACCAAAATGTGCACTTATTAAAGGTTTAACACATAAATAAATGAACAGCACGTCTGATAAAATTACGGGATAAGAGAAATTCTGAAATACGTTTTAGAAAAATCTGTTTTATTCTACATGGTAACGGGTCGCCCCCTCATGGACACCTTTGTTGGCATCACGTGATCAGCTATATGGTAAAATTACTATTTACGATAGGAATTACTGTTACTAAGGTGGTTTACACAGCATAAACATAAAGGTACATCTAAAAAATGCAAGCAAACCAAAAATATATAACAGTAGACCTTGATATCCCTGGCGAAAATTAACCATGCTTTTTACTACAAATGAAACCAAACTATAGTTACTATAGTTAAGCCATGGTCACTACAAATTAACCATAGGTTTGCTACACTAGCCATAGTTTAACCATGGTATTTGTAGTAAAAACTGTGGTTATACAAAAATGGTAGTCAATACACCAAAAAACTAAATATAAAAACTAAAAACAAAACAAAACAAAAAGATTATTACACTTTTACTATAACCCTGTTGAAAAAACCAGCATATGCTGGTTAGGTATGTTTTGACGCTGGGATGCTGGTTTAAGCTGGTCCTTTGCTGGTTTATGCTGGTCCTTTTGCTGGTTTACATGACCAGCATAAACCAGCAAAGGACCAGCCTAAACCAGCATAAACCAGCAAAGGACCAGCTTAAACCAGCATCCCAGCATCAAAACATACTTAACCAGCATATGCTGGTTTTTTCAACAGGGAAAACCATGGTTAATTTTAGTAAGGGATGTCTCAATCTAGCACATAGGCACACATATTTTGCAATGTCTTGAGACAATGTTAAGATAACATAAAAGCTTCTGTATAGGCTACTGTGTTTTGTAATTCCTATAAAGAAATCATTTTCAAACCTGGAAAAACTGAACTCCTAAAACTGCTAAGTCTTAAAAAGACTATAAAGACGCCTAGGCTTTTCAAACTGAAGTAAATGCTTTATAATAGTTTCAGTTTATTATTGGTGTTTGCGTTACTATTGTTCATACTTAGTTTTTTGATGAAACCCCTAAATATTAAACTTGGCAACATAGCTTGTACCACACTGCTTGATGTATGAAATCCTAATGCTTTTCTATTCTACCAGACTTTCTCAGATGTTTATCTAAAACAAAAAAGCTTCCAAAATTGTCATTTAAACTCAAAAATGAAAATGTTGTCATTATATACTCACAGTTGCTGGTAGCCATTGACTTCCATTGTATATTTTTCCGTACTATGGAAGTCAACGGCTACCAGCAAATATTCGGTTACCCACATTCTTAAAAAAAAAACGTATTTTGTGTTCATCAAAAGAAAGAACTCAATACAGGTTTGAAATAACATAAAGGTGGGTAATGAAGACAGAATTTTAATTTTTGTGTAAACTATCTCATTAAGGAAAGAGCCATATGGAAATATAAGAATTTCAGTGTAACTACCCACAACACCGAAGCATCATAGTAACGCCCTAAGGTCTGTTTATAAATGATTTAACACTCGAGTTATCCTAAAGCCCTGCCATATGCCATTTTAAATATTATCTGAGAGATCAGAATCATGTAATTAATGTAACTTTCACAAACACAAGACCTTTATCTCCTTTAAAGGCATGACAGTGATTTCAGAAATGACTAAAATGAGTATAAAGTATGCAGGACTACAATATTTTCTTGCCGTTTGAAGCACTCAGCACTCACACATGGCTTGATCGAATCTTACACAGACATGTTATTATTCATTTGTCTGAATTTAATGAAACAACATAGGGTGACTATACATCCTTATCAAATCAGCACAGTATCTGAAATGTTGCCAGTCACAATTTTGCACCTGAAGTGCTCTGTACAGAAGATGGTCCTCAAACAGAAATGTCACTAGCTGGACTTAAACCCAGGTCATCTGAACATAAACACTAGCATGCAATGATTATCTGGTCACCCTAAATGAAATGTAAGGAAAGCTGTGTAAAGAATGTGTATAAAAGCCTAACAAGTCGATTACATTTGATGAAATATTTCATACTATATAAAGGCTTCAGGATGGAGCGATGTAATTAAAAAAAGAGAGTAAAAAAGTGAAAAAATAATCACTGACGACTACATTAAGTGGCAAGTATTGGTTTTATGTGGTATTTTCTCAGTAGTGTTTCCCTTAAAGCACTCCAAGCAGTTTGAGAGCAATAGAGATGGAAAGCAGAATGACTCCAAACAGCCCGATATATCCATATGCACCACGCATCCTCTTAGCAGGATCTAAAACAGACAAACAACTTAAACAAGTTAACAGTATCTTGAAAATGTATATGGCAATTTAAAAAAAAATGCATAAATATATAATCCACAAACATACATGTGTCATTTAAATCTATAATTAAATGCAAAATAAATGCAATCCTTTTTGCATTTGCACTCGGATTCAGAAACAGATGTGAATGTGCTTTTGCATCTGAGAACAGTCTAAAAATTGCTACAGGTTTCTCTATGTGCATTTTTAAGACTTACCACCAGTGGAGTAACCCCAGGCATAAGAGAACCTGCTCGTAACCCAGATGACTCCTAACACAGAGGCAGCAAGCTGATATGAGAGATAAAAAATGCAAGATAAACAAAGGTGAACTGGGTGAAAGGGTGTACATATGAGAGAAGGAGAGCACATGAAAAGAGAATGAATTCACATATTTAACAAGAGATTTATAGAACAAGCATTACAAGGAAATGTCCCTCTGCTAAATGATCAAGGTCAAACAATTTGATCAAAGGCATAATGATTTAATGAACTGTTGTAAGGTTTATACAAACAACATTACTGTTACTAGCCCAACACTTTAGTGTGATAAATGCTTGTGTCACATTTCTAAATATATTAGAAACTTCTAGTTGTCACTAAATATGATGGAAGATGGTACAAGGTACAGCAATGCACTCCAGGGGTTATATAAGGAGGGGTTGAGCTGGGCAGAACTGGCTCCATTTCAATTCATAAACTGGAGTTGCCTACGTCCACATTAAACTGGAATTCGAATTGGAACAGCAGGAAGAAGAATTTGCTGAGTTGCAATTAAAAAACATTTTATAAACTCGCAAACACAAATCTTTCTACAAAACATGATTCATTTACACCAACTCTTGACAAAATGCTGACCACAATGTTTGAGATAACATCAATATTTTGGGTAGGGCTGCACGAATATGACAAAAATCATAATTGTCGATTATTGCCTTGAAATTGTAATTGCGATTATTAATTACGATTATCACAATTTACATTGAATGATGTTTATACCATTGTTTGATGCAACAGCATGCCGTATTTTTATATGAAAATAAACAAGCTAAAAACACACTAACTGAAAAACCTTTAGTGCTTTTCTATAGTATTAAAGTGGTCATATGATGCTTTTTTAAAGATCATTATTTTGTGCATTTGGTGTAACACAAAAAAGTTAGTTTAAAATAATGTAAAAATATTATTACAAATAGATTTATATTTAATGTAATTATTTAAAATATTTAGTGTATATAAAACTTAAATTATAACAATATATTAATCATATCTTTATTTTTTTAAGTAATACATAATTATGTCTTTATATAATCAATTATATATTTATCTATTAATATGTTTTCTAATAAAATAAGATGCATATCGTAATACTTCTGAATACTTTCTAAATGTTTTAAATACTTTTTTATTGTTATTATTAAAAAGTATTTGAAACTTTTTAAATAGTCTTAATATCTTATGCAATTTTTCTTCTAAAGTAAATGTAAGCAAGTAAATATACTGACAAAAATGCAGAATAATAAAATGATTTTTTTATTTATTTTTTGCTTGCAGTTAGTCAGTTGTTGGGTGACTAGTTGATAATGCTGACTGTGGAGGTAAATGACAGAATTTAAATCTAAACTTTGAAATCTTCCACAGAGAAGAAGTATCTGTTAAATGTGGCCAAAGCAAATGCTTCCAGGATTCTGGGAGTGCAGAACTTAGAGCTGCCAGCTAGCCTGAAGGAGCTGGAGGAGGAGGAGAAGAGGAGATCTTCATCAGATAAAGAGGAAAGGGTGAGCGCAGACCGGGCACCACAGAAGACTCCAGCACAGGTGAGCCTCACACACATGCATACAGACGGTCCACTAACACACACCCAGTGTTTGTTTGACTTCTGTAATATTGCATGAACGTCCTGAGTGTTTGACATTTGACAATTATACCTGTGATCTCGGGACGTTGACTAACCCGTTGAAACACGTCTATTTAAAATGTGATTGCGCGCTGTACTTACCCAAACCTGGGTCACCGTGTAATCTGTCTCCTCAGACGTGAATGATTTTACCTGATGGATTTAATGGAATGATGAACAGCACTTGTCCGGATTAGGTAATGGTACATGTTAAAGAGTATGTACTACTGTGTAGTGTGTGTGTGAGAGAGAATGAATGAGCACGTGGCTATTATTCCTCTAACTGTATTGAGGAGTGGCATTTAGCTTCAATTGCTTTGTTTTTTTTGTATCATTTCTGTTCCTGTAGAGCTGAAACTCCTCCACCCTTTGGACAAAGAGGGAGAGAGGGGGAGGTCACATGACTTGAATGACACCAGCTTTAAGTCTTATGTGTACAACTGCAAAGGTTAAGTAATTGTGTACGATGTCAGCGGTAGCTTTGTGTCGAACAAAAACAGACCACATGCATTTGTGTGATTCACCTCACACTCAACACTTTCAGCCACCACACAACAGCACATATGCAGAAAATTTTGGGGTCAGTAGAATTTCAGGGGTTTTTTTTATTTTAAGAAACCAATACAGCAAGGATGCATTGAATTGATCAAAAGTGACAGTAAAGACATTTATAAATGTTGAAAATAAATGCTGTTCCTTTGAACTCTCTATTTAAATAATCCTGAAAAAAAAATGTATCATGGTTTCCACAAAAATATTAAGCAGCACAACTGTTTTCAAAACTGATAAGAAATGTTTCTTGAGCAGCAGATCAGCATATTAGAATGATTTCTGAAGGATCCTGTGACACTGAAGACTGGAGTAATGATGCTGAAAATTCAGCCTTGCATCACCGGAATAAATTAAAATGTAAAATATTTAACTAGAAATTGTCAGATTGTAATATTTCACAATATTACTGTTTTTACGGTATTTTTTTATCAAATAAATGCAGCCTTAGTGAGTTAGTCAGTATATGACACTTTTCAAAAACTATAAAAAAAAATAAAAATCATACTGACCCCAAACTTTTGAACGGTAGTGTCTCTTTACAGCTGTTAGAACTACAGGAAATGACTTCTGTTTGCTGATGGTTGAACTGGGTTGCGTTGTCATTTACCAGAGTCTTCCTCTATTCATCGTGTGTGAAGACCAGAGAGAGCTCGCTCTACGGTGACGGATGGGGTTTGGAAAAATATAGTCTCATCAATTAGTAATTTTTTTTTTGTTTGTTTGCTTTTTGGGGCTTTGTTCATACAAGCAGCAAAAAGCCTTTGTTTTTTTTTTTTTTGCATTTAATTATTTTGAACCATTTCAGAGCTGTTTAGTATGGAAGCCTGTTTCCGCCACAGAATTAAAAGTTAATAAAGGTAATTTTGACTTTTTCACAATTGTTTAAACCAGATAATTCAGACTTTTCTTCAAAATTACAAGATGCAAACATGCAAAATCACATTAATTTGAAATCTAATTCAAATGTAATTTTTAGACACTGCATTTCAGTTTTTTTTTTTTTTTTTTCTCTTTTGGTTTTTTTCTTATAAAGTGTGAACCATTTCAGACACTGCATATGCATGAATTTGTAAATAGCGACACCTCAGGAGTTGTTTAAAATGACTGGACATTTGAAAAACAGATTGGAAATATGTACAGTGTGAACAAAGCCTTTGTATATACATTTTCATTTTTGCTTGTAAAAGAACTGCTTTTTGTACTGTCAATAGTAAATGGGTATAACCCAAATGGTGTTTTTGATGTCAGACTGATTCAAAGAGCAGCACTGGCATTACACAGGTCAGAGTCCCTTCAATTTGCCTCTTTTGCATGACTTAAACACCGAACTGAGGGCGTCCTCACTTAGAAATGAAAATCATGTGGTACTGAAGTTTCTAGGTTTACATCAAACAGACAGCGATTTCATTATCCTATTCCCCTTTTTTCTGTCTTTAGGTAAACGTTGTTGCCAATGATGATGGCGAGGCAGAGGCTTCTCCGACGTCTCCCAAGAGAAAGCCAATTAACTTCAGCATCAACGTAAGTTCATTAAAGCTTATTCACATATAATGACTGTAAGAGTATATTGAAATATTAAAGTTGATCTTGCCTTTTTATATTGACAGAATACCATCGCCAGACCGTCAAACAGCCCAACAGTCCATGACAGTAAGGTAACATCAAGAGCCGACAGCGTAGCAGACAGGAAGCCATATGGACAGTGGGTCCCCATCAGCAGATCCTCTTCTAAAAAATAAACACTGAGATTCAACAGTGATGTAAAAAGACTGTATATAGTGTAAATAGTTTGTGTAGTGATCACTTAGGGTAGTGTAGGATGGGGTGGGTGATTAGGGGACACCTGAATTCATCATAAATGTTTTCTTTCAGATATAAAGTGGGTTTTGTGGAAGAAGGCAAGAGGATGTCAGACAGGTGGGAAATATTGTGTACATTGTGGGTTTTTTGTGTGTGTGTTGTACAGTGGATGTTTCTAAATAAAAATGCAAAAAAAAAAATCCTTGTGTGTACATTTGGTTTTTTCAGAAATTGTAAAATTTTAAATTCTTAAGGTGATGAATGAATATTTCCAATTTAGTTGAAACTTCAAAAACAACAGAACACTCCTGAAGTTTACAGTGATGGGGATGCATTTTGATCTCACATCAGTACTCCTCCATTTTACCAGAAGAAACCATTAGATTAACATCAACTGCTACAGAATTTGCAAAATTGATTTTTGCCTTTTGCACAGTTATTTGATAATTAGTTAAAATCTTTTACAGTAAGCAATAATGCTCTGTGAGTTAATGGCACAAAACCTGCCAAGAACATCATGTCAGAGCCATATTTACACCCACACACAATTTATAAAGACATGGCGGATGTATATAAATTTGATTCTGGGATGAAATGTGACCTGTACACGTTTTTAGTGAGATTAAATCTAATGCTATTCAGCTATTTCTCCGAATTAAAGAAAAATATTTAATTTTATCATTTTAAAAAAGTATTTTTATTAAAAACATGTTTGCAATATGGCAAGGGGGTTTTGCTGGAGGATAATTCATGAGAACACCCCGATCTTCATGTTCAGGACTCTGGGTGGCGCTGTTGCACTGTGCACAGTAGTTGTTGAGTCTGGCACATAACAAAACATCACAAGCTTTCCAAGGAAAATATTTGACAGTAGTTATTGCAAACCAGATTAACCTTCCATAATCGCTGTTGATATCAGAGAAACTAATCAGTAGCCAATAATGATAGCTACACATGCATAACAGAAGGACTTTTCTCACTCAAAATAGTTAACCCTGGGTCATTCTAAACCCAGGAAAATGGAATCATGGGTTAGCTTGTTTTACGTTTCACACTGCTCATAATTTACCCTGGGTTGACCATTAATCCTGTGCATTTATAAACTGAACTGTCGTTTTACACTTTACATTCCAAAACCCTGGGTTCTTCTGGGTTTCGTGGATTGGATGAACTCCGCATGCGACAAGTGTACATAATGCTGCTGGGTACACACTTTTAAAACAGATTTTTAAAATCTTATAAGATCTTCAAAATGTGAGAGACCACAAACACGAGGACAAAAAATCCTAGATTTAACCGTTTTGCTCCTATAGTGTGTGGTGTGCCGCGATGTTCCCCCAACACATCAGGATTTCTGATCGTAAATATTCAACATGTTGAATATTTACCTCCGACGTTCTTCCGAGCAGATTCAGTCACTCTTAACACACCTCAGGAAAATCTGAAAAGATAATCTTTAGAACAACCAAGATAATCGGGACATTACCAAGGATTGTCGGAAGGGGAGAAATCGGCCCAAAATCAGCCCGATTATCTTGTGGTGTGTAACCGGCATAACCGCTCTAGCATTGCGGTTTTCTGTCGATTTGTGCCCTGTCAGATTTTGCTACCTCCCATTAAAACAGTAGGTAGTACAGTTTGACAACGAAAAATGCTACCCGTCAAATTATGTTTCATTAACGTCTACGCCTACCCCAACCCTAAACCTACCCAGTAATGCAAACAGTAATTAGACTATGCGTTGGCCAGGGTTGTGGCTAGAAAGGATACAGCTACGGCCATTGTAATATTTTCCTGAATTGTTCGACCATATCGGTGGACTTTAAAGGTAAGATTAAAACAGTCTCTTCTAGAATTCCCGACAACATTTTACATTTCAAACGCTGAAACAACTGTTGATGATTGGTTGTAAGCCTGTAACTGTAATGTCAGTGTAGCGCTATATTTAATTTTTGACAGGAACGAAAAGGAGATTGCGAGGGACTGTGTTCGATGGATTGTACTGTTGTTTAACAGTATACCGACTGTTCTGTTGACAAAGTTTTTCTGAAGAAAAAAACATTAAGTAGACAAAAACTTTATAAAACAGTTTTGAAAGTCGTGAGTTGTAAAAAAACAACAAAAAAACAATATAGCACCGTTATATACAGTGCCACAGTACCATTGTAAAGACTAAATCAATTCCTCACAGCCTCATTTTCATCCGTGTTAAATTAACCCCTTAACTGTCACCGTCCCACCTGTGGGACGCTTGGCG